ACACATACTCATAGGAAAATGTTTTAAATTCTGCAAGATCTGTGTCCAGATGAAAAGTCAATAACAGATAATGTGTTCTGGACACAGAAACATAGCATCACCTGGGGGGATAGGAAGTATAGTTGCTTTGGAATCTCAACTAAAGGGCCCCACACTTTATTAAACCTGGAGTTGTGGGTGTGTAGGTGTTGGATTACACACATCAATAGGAACAGAATGATTTCTGGAGGCACTTATGGAAAGATTTTGAATTACGGTACTTATCAGGCCCCAGGGAGCATTTTGGCAAGTTTTTGAAATTCACTCATGAATTCCTCATGCACTTCTTGGAGACAACTACAATGACTGAAGCATGGAGGTTTCAATGACCCTTTGCAGTTTCATCATGTGTGATTTCCAGTGCTTCTCAGGGCTTCAGAGGGGCTTCTTAGTGCAGCAACATAAGCCCCCTGCAGAGCACAAGTCCCATTGTCAGTGTATTGCCACACACCTCATGGTCTGTGGCAATACTTCTTCAGTAACTGTGTCCATGTCACTTCTGTGAAATTTGGGCTACATTGTAAATCATTACAAAAAAAGATTTTACAGGATCGGTATTTCACTACATTGTTTTGGCTGGTATCTGAATTCAATGTTATCAAAGATGAAACATGATGCAAGCAATTAAGATGTGAAGAATATAATCAAGGGGGAAGACCATGTCTTGTGAAACAAAAGCACAAGCTCTTGAATACACGATTTTCTAAAGATAAGAATAAGGAAGCATTGTGGGTTTCCTGGATGTGAATTCTCCATCTCCAGACATTCTCAGAACAGAGTAGACAAACATCTGTTAGAAATGGTTTAGCTAGAGTTATGCTGCCTCAAGATTAGCAGCTAAATGATATCTTGAGGCTCTTTCCAAATCCATTTCCTATTACACTCTCTCTGTAAGCAAACATACGTGAACATTTCTGGAAGAGGAGGACCCTGGTTAGATCAGTAGCTCAGCAGTCAAGTCACAAGAGAAATGACTTATGTTTGCTCTCCTGTGGTGTCTCCTTAGTGTTGTGATATAATTGTCTTTGGTGGGCAAAAGGAAGGTTTCTTCTGTCTCACAACCCAGAACAACATTCCATCCCTACCATGCTCCCAAACGAATCCATGAAAATGGTCCATGAATCTACAGAAAACATTTGTTCAGTAATTCTACCCACTTGTTTCAAAACAAGAAACATCAAGAATTGGCCAATAATTAATCACAAGTAACTCATAAAGCTTGAATACACATACTCTGTTCATACAATAAAAGACACATTAGTTGGAGATTGTGTCAAATTCCACAATAGAAGCCTTAATCATAAATTAGTCATTAAATTACTGCCATTTTCCAAGAACAGAGATATTTATGGAGCTTTGTAGATTAAATAAAAGTTTTCAATAAGGTCACATTTATACATGTGTTCTGTGTTTGTGTAAGTGAAAACACCACTAGAATTCTTTGCTAATTGAACGGAATTTAACATCCACTACAGTGTTTTCACTTGATGATGCCTTAAAACTAGATTCTATTTGGTTATGTTTTAGTTTTATTTTAGGAAACAAACGTGCAACTAAAAGTTTTAAAGAACAGACACGTGTTTAAGAATTCTAATTTACAACAATGTGAGTTCTTTTAACCAGAAATATGATAACAAAAATAACTAAAATTAATCTGGCTAACGTTTCAGCAATATCCCATTAAGTTAGCTAATGTCAACACAGTGGTTTGTTTTAATCTAGATTGACCCCAAGCTTTTGTGATTTCAGCTAAAAGTGTGAACGACAAAAACATCTACAGAACAATGCACCTTCATAGCCTAACTGCCTAATCCAAACAGAGTCAAGGGCCACAAGCAAAGGGGAACCAAGCTTCTGTAAGCATAGGAAGAGCTATCTGCCTCCAAATGTCTATTTTTAGGCATCTTTTTTTTGTTTGTTTGTTTGTTTTGTTTTTGTTTTTTTTTTGGTGGGAAGCGGACTGGAACTAGGCATAAAAAGTTACGCGAAGCATGATAATTTCATGGTTAGCTTTTCTGTATTTTACATTAATAGATCATTCAGTTAAATGTAAAGTATGTCCACATACAGCCAGAGCAATTAAATGGTATTGTCACATAAACACATTAGCTTTCATTTTGTTCGTATATATCTGAGTTTGAATGTTGCAGTATAGGATTTCCCCTTCTTTCAGCTAGTTATCTCTGTAGCTGAAATGTAGGCATACCTGAAGCAATACTCCAGGGAGCAGGAAACAAATCTCCCTCTCTCTTTTGTAATTACTGACTCAGGAGAAAGAGACCTAAGCTGCAAATAAAGCCACATTTTTAGGAACCGTACTCCCACAGGGCCAAAAGCTTTTGCTAATACTGTATGTGAGCAGTACAGCTGCTTGCTATGTAAATGGCTTTAAATTTTTGCCTAAGTTTTCAAGATAAGGATTTGCTCAGAGAAATCTTCCACTGCATAATATTCCAGATAAATTGTTTGTATTTTAATAACTTCTGAAAAGAAATTTTCTTCCCCATTTCTCCCTTAGCTAGACCTACAAATCTCAGAGCTAGACACTGGACTAGCGAGAAGTCATTCCGTTAAGCATGCCAAATGATAAAATTACTTGATATGAGCAGTAGAGAAGGGAATCTATTAATATTATTGTGTTATTGTAGTGAATAGAGATACAGTAAGGTTCCTTTAATGATCCAGATAATGCATTAAGGGTGTGAAGCTCTTAAAAAGAAGCAACAGAAACTCATATGGCTATAACAACTTTTTTTTTTTTTTTAATAAATTGGCTTTTGAAAGAAAGACAGCTGCTTATTAGACAAGCTACATGCATTTTCATAAACTGAGATATAATATTTTTACTTTTTTCATTAACAAGTACTATTGAGAATACAACTGCCTTACATCATTGCATTAGTAAACGCTTTTAAAAACTGAGATGTAAACATATGGCTAGGAAAAAAATATAGCCTATTTATCATGGCTCATTTTCCATCAAAAAGTTGTAATTAAATAACATCAGCAATGACCCATGAAGTATCTTTCTGAAGAGCATTGTATCTACTCCGTTTCATACAGCTAGAGAGAAGCATTTTTCTACACAGCTTATTCTGAACTTTTTGTGAAGACTTTGAAGTGCCTGGTGCAGAGTTAAAAACAAAACAAAACAAAAACACCACCTTGATACTCCTGCCAAACAACTAGAGAAGAATTAACTAGAAGAACTCACACAGCTGACTCTCAATTCAATTAGGCACCATGGAGGCAGAGTTTATTCCATAAGCAACTGACAAATGGAAACTGCTTCCTGAAGCCAAAAAGGTCAAACTGAAAATGAGTAAGGCTTCCCACCACTCAAAGGTGAAAACAAGTTTATCACACTTGCCTTCTGCATGGCCTTCCCAGCTGCTGTTTATTTTCCCCAGCCCCTAAGACCAGCTGCTTTTTTCCTATTAAGCGCTTCTCAGTTCCTCCTTGGAGTTCTGCTGCCCTGTTAAGCTTTATTGCCAGCTTGTTTGCCATCAGGGTACCAGGTGGCTGCTTCTCCTCTACAGTGTCAGCAGTGGTTTCTGGGCTGAGTGCTATTGTCAGCCAACACTACTTTCCATACACTTTAGAGGGAGTAAGGCCAACCACAACTGTTTAAGCAAAAATCATGATTGTGTCAAAATTGTGAGAACTAGGAAAAAAAAAAAAAAAAAAAAAAAAAAAAAAAAGGATATAATCTTCATGTCCACCTTCCACCTTTATTGTCCACCTTTCAGCTTAGAAAGTGTCCCAGAAAAACAATGAGTCCCAAGAAAAGCTAGATTTCAGGAGCTCAGGACTTCACAACATTTACAACTGGACCACTCAAAAGTTATAGAATCATAGAATTGGAGAAATAGGTTGGAAAAGACCTCCAAAATCTTCTGGTCCAGCCATCACTCTACTACCAATGTCACCCGTCCTGTTGTACTTCATGACACCTGCACACATTTCACACTTGCCCACTTATTAATTATTCTGAGTGCTGATGGTATACACTGTATCTGTAATTGAAATTTTTTTTTTTTTTTTTTTGTGCTCAGAAGACCAGAAGACCAGAAGCAGGATTTACAGTGTCTTCAAGTATAAAGCCTGTCTTATGTTTGAGGACACTTTACAAAAAAACAAAACAAAACAAAACAAAACAAAACACAAACACTAAACAGAAGACATATTCCTAATGAAACCCCTCTGCCTTATGTGGTCAAAAGCACTTAGAAGTGCAAGAAATTCTAGAGTTAAGATGCTGCTAAATCCTAATTTCTTTCTCAAAATGTTGTGGGCAATCTCAGTTCCACTGAACTCAATGAGATTTTTTCCCAGGGATTAAATATGATCATAATTTAAGCTAATAATGGAAGCAGCTGGAAAAAAAAAAAAAAAAAAAAAAAAGAAAAAAAGAAAGAAAGGAAGAGAGAAAGAGAGGAAGGGAGAGAGGAAGGGAAGAAGAGTGGAAGGGAAGAAGGGAGGAAAGAAAGAAATGGGGAAAACCTACTTTATACTTTTCATTAGTGTCAAGGTAAAATATTACATGCAGGCCACAAAGGAAGAGTATAACCCTTGAAAAGGAGATACTATTTCTACAAGAATGCTTTACTACAAAAAATGACTAAATATAACTTATCAATGATACTATACTCTCCCATATGCAAATGATTCTTCAGGTATATTGGAAATAAACACAGCATAATAGATTTTCATTACTGATGACAAATTAGTAAACCCCATCCTGCAATGAACTCAAGGGACTATTCCCATGTGTTTCCAGTATGTTAAAAATTTTACACAAAGGAAGTCTACGCTACGATGATACATATAAGAGCAAGTATCCATGCAGCACAGCGGTATTTTCCATTTTACTTGATTATGACCAAGACAGACCATACTCTCTATGTGCTAGCACTGACTGTATGTGAGAAAGGAAAAAAGTTCACACTATGGAACATTCATGACAGAGAATTCACTTTTATTTGTTAAACAAAGAGATGGTTTGTCATACTCTATTTTTTTTCATAGTTGCAAGCAATTTCATTATATCATTATGTCTAAGATACAGGAACCAAGCATACATAATTGAAGACAAAGGAAACTGAAAACATACTGGACAGAATTAACAGATAAATGAAATCAGTAAATGCAACCGCCACATCCCTTAATTTGATGTCTGTGCAAAAGCATCTAAATTTCCTAGCACACAGCATACACCAGTTAGCCTATTTTAAATAGCAAATTTGTTTCAGTAATCCATATGGGTAAGTAATATTTAATCATATATATGTGAAAGTCCTTTAAGTACTTTATTTTTGCATGCATGCTCCACTCGTTATTGATATGTTCCTCTTTTTTAACAGTCTTCATTTGTTTTAAAGATCAAAGTAGATACACTCCATACAAAGCTATGTGACGCAGGCAACACCTGTTTCTGCTCCTTGCACACACACTCTTTCACTCACCCCCTCTTCTGACCTCTCTCTGCAGGTGACTATGAGCGAACAGCTAGTTCTCTGTGAGAACTGAATGGGACATACATATTGGCAGATGTGGGTGAATACTTTCATGTTTGTTAATCTAAAAAAGAGTAAAGCTTACAAAAATATAAGGAGTAGAAAACCTTAGACAAGTTAAAATACATAAAATCTCTACGTAAAGTTTATTTGGTCAGGCAGAGTTTAGTTTATCAAATGTCAATCCAAAATAACAGGGGTAAAAACTAAACAAAAACATTATAGTAACTTTATACTAAAAGGCAACAGTTACCCTTCTTTCCTAAGGCCACTGTACCACCGTAAATACTCTGACTCAGTGCATTACAGCATCCACATATCAGAGTGGTTCCACTTATGTACTGCTGATATTAGAAAAATAACTTTATTTAAAATTATGTATGAGCTAAAGCATTTTTTCAGGTGTAGTTTTGATAACCGTAATTTTGTTTTAATTAAATTGTTCTTCAACAATCCCACTGATTTCACAAACCTGTGAAATCAAAAAGAAAACACAGAAATTAGGGCTAAAATTTAATGTACACCAAAATATGATAAAAGAGAAATCTAATCCTTCATTGTGTTTTGTAAAAGTTTTCCATAATGCTGACTTCACAGTTAAATAAACAATTTGGATCAATATTTTGATGAATCTTGATTCTTTTTCATTACTAAAATATTCAGAAGTGAACCAGAGCCTCATAAGTTACATTATTTGTTCCGATTATTCAGTGATTTGGAGGGTCTTGCTTTGTAGAAATAATACTAACTGCAAAATTGAATAATGTTGAAAAATGCATTAAACAGAATAGGTGACTGTAATAGGTAAATATAATGAATCAGATAAGCTGAGATAGTAATGTTTCCATTTATGATTGTATTCAGGTTTAAAACCTTCCCCAAAGCAAAATGGAAATTTAGCTTTTACAAATATTTACTCATGCAGATGGAAATAGATTGTTTTGCAAATGTTGCTGACTGTAAAGCACCCCTCTCCCCATATGTTTGTAAAAATAGAGTAATGATGTAAGTGTACCTATTACATGGATCCACTTGGAAAACTAGGGTTGTAAATTGGAAATTTACAACCACGTTTAATTACACAGCTGAATGTGTAAAGTTACCTTAGAAGCCTTCAACTTGTCATTTTTAAACACTGAGGGAAATCGGGCATAGCAACTTCACATTTATTCAATCTTGTTTTTTTTGTTGTTTTTTTTTTGAATATATAAATATGCAACTTTCCTTTGGGAGATTAAAAACATTTTGCAGGAAACAAACTATTATCTCTAGGTAACCAACAAAGTACAATTGGAACAAGATCTTTAAGTTTCATTTTGACAGGTGATAAGCTTGGATTTTATATTACATACTGTACTGATATTCAACATAGCAAGGCACATACCATGAAAACCTTTGCATCAAAAGCAAACAAACACATGAAGCAAAAACAAAACAAGCAAAAAACAGCAATGAAACAGAAGAAATAAAGCCTGGGAAATCTTAGCAACATTTCTTACCCTTTATTAACCTTATATATATTTTTTCATCACTTATGTTTAATGTTTAACAACTGTTTTCCTTGGAGACACTTCATTTAGCAGAGTTACAAGCATTGTCACAGTTTGATCTTTAAGTAACAAATTTGTCTTAAGGGTGGAAAAAGAAAAGCAAATGTATATAAGCCTGTTTCACTTGCAAATTCTTCTCATGACTGTTATCCGCAAAAACTCCAGAGACTGTGGTCTTCTTAGCTGCAGAAGGAAATGGGATGCTAGCCAGAAAATATATTCCATGTTACCCTATATACATTATAGAATTCTTGACTGATGAGAAATTAAATTTATTCAGATGACATGAGATAGAGAAGTCAGGCTGGAGATGCAAGAGATGGACACCCTGAGGATGTCCATTTAGTGTACCTTTCTCAGTCCCCCAGCAAGACAGATCTCTATCTACCCTCTGAAGTCCCTTTGTTTTTCCTATGTGCTTCAGAGTGCAAATAGCTTAGACTATACTTCCTCACTTTTATGTAGCTGGAGTTAGGTGAGATGGGTCACACCCTGACAAGCTGATTTTTCCAATATAAAAAAGAATGACAATGATTTAGAAGTGGTTAATATAAGCAGCAAGCCACTGATTTACTTGAGTAACATAACTGAAAACACTACAGCCATCTTAAAGTTAATGAAATCACAGCAGAAAGAAATGCAGAGAGACATCAGAATTGGGGCCTACACTTGTGACACATTTTAGAAACATTAACTGGTGATTTCTCATAGCTTTGCTGTCAGTTATCACATTTCATCATCGCACTTCAAAGATCAGGGAAATGAGACACAGAGAACATAAGCATTCCCCAGATCCTGCTGTAACACTTAGGCTGGTATTACACATTGCCAAACAAGATTTAACCAAAATGAACAGAAGTCACACATCAAGGATCAACCTTCCTCTTTTCTTTCCCCCATTCTCTACGTTCATGGACCTGCTCTCTGACAGCTCAAGAACAGTCAATTATGAGTTCATTACAAAATCTTAACCTTTTCCATCAGAGTTTTTGCTACTTGAACTTGAAATCCTTCCTCTTCATGATAAAAGAGCAAATTATACAGTTTTGGCTTAGAATGAATCTCAGCCTTGTAAAACACATTTACAGCAATTAGATAATAAGGAGTGTTAATATTTTTTAGAGCAGAAGAATACTTGGATTAAAACAAAACAAAACAAAACAAAACAAAACAAACAAACAAACAAACAAAAAAAAACACACACATACAAAACACAACAACACAAGAAACACACTTTCATAGATCTTTCACCTCCTGGTCATTTTTGTACCCTGGGATTAGTCAATCATCCTACTTTTTTCTGTTTTCTGCAGCAATCTGATCCCATCTGCTGAATCCATCAGTCAGCTGTGGAGACAAGAGCCTTTCAAGGCCTTATTTAATGCAAAAGGATGTACTCCCTGCTTGCTGTTCCCAGGGTGCTGCACTTCTTGGAGTCATTTTCATTCAAGAAAATTGAGTGAAAAGTAGGTGTAGAACATGTCCAATATGATTTGGTAATACTTCAGGGCTACTTTGTGCTCTTTCTGTACTGTTGTAAATGACTACACAAGGCACCGGTGAAAGAGGAATGGGGTCTACATCTCTTAACAATAGCTGTGACAATTAAATGGAATAAAAAGTACACACTGGTTTGCAGCAAGATCTTCTTGGCTTGTAGTGAAAACACTCAGCCAGTATGGCAAATAAAGGAATCCAGAAAGGCATGAAAAAATGAGATCATCAGCACAATTCCTAGCTCTTTCCAATACTCTGTAATATAAAGGACAACAAATGGCCAGTTTCTTCCAGCTGGAAAGTCTGCAGAGTAGTCCTCAAGTCGAACAGTTCATTGATATGCCCTTCTAGGCCAGATGCAGTTCCACAGGATGACTTCGTACCTCATAGTTTTCATAGTTTTATAACCATTTGAGTCTTCACTAGAACCCTGTGGGTATTTTTGTGAGCATTTTTTTGGGTTGAAATGTCAGTGGAAGCATATTCAGCTCACCACTGTCAGACTCTCAGATATTGTCCATAGCTTCTCCTGATTCACGCAGCTCATATGTCAGGGCAGCCACAGGGCTGAGCCGCAACACACGACTGAATTATCTGAGTAAAGATATTCTATTTTTGCTAATTGATATTTCAACCAGATCAATTCTTTGTTCGTTGCATTCCTTCACTAAGAGCTATATTTAATTTATGTTCACTCAACAAAACAGGTGTTTTGGAAAAGCAAAGTCTAAAAGTCTATCAATCTGATATAGTCAAAACCAAATAAAGTGACTTAATTAAAGTTCCTTCATCAACATGCAGCAATTTAGACTGCACTCCCATTAAAAGTTTACATTTCTTTTCAGTAATGGCTAGCCTTATTAACTGTCTGCCAGTGATTATTCAGCAAAACCAACAATTTATTTTATTCTCCAAATTTTTTTCACTAATGTTAGAGAAAGAGCTTTACTTTCCTAGCAATTATTATTTTGATTTTGAACTTTAGACTAATCTTCTAACAGAACGAAATTAAACAGGCTGTGTTTCAAAACATATACTTCTTTATGATTCAAATACAAGTTCTTGTGTCAATATATGTAGCTGCTATATCAATACACAGCTAAAGAAGTATTTTTATTGTAATGTATGTAAATTAATATTTGTCTGTATTCTTATTTTGGAACACAATTGTAATAAAGTTCAGTACGGATTTGAGTGATGAGCAGGAATAATTATCTATTAATTTACCTATACATCTATCCAAAGTTGTTTATACAAGACATAGAACTCTGTGGAATCCAAAAATTTGGACAATTTTTTTTTTCCTAAAAGCTCAGAATCCCACTTGTCAATGTTTTTGAAGTAAAACAAAAATAAAACAAAACAAAACAAAAATAAAAAGCAAAGTATTTATAGAACTATATGATATAGATTTTCATTTAATACCATTCACAAAATTAAAATTTTCAAAGTACAAATTATGTTCATGGTATTTACAGACTTGTATGACTGTGTAGAGCAAAATAAAGTATTAATAGCATTACATTGATTGTAATTATTATGGTCAATATTAATCTGAACTCTTACATTTTCTGTTTTATATTTTTAAATCAATAAGGACAGCCCTTACTTCAAAGGCTAAATGATGATAATAAAAACAACTCAGGGAACCTTTGTTGTTTAAAATCATTAGGGAAAAAAATAATAATAAAAAAAAAAATCACAAAAATGTGTATACATGTAAATGCAGTTATGCACATTTTTAAGTGTTTGTAAGAAAACATATTTTTAATCTGTAAAGAAAAAGGGGTTTTTGTTTGTTTGTAATAGTGTGATGTTCACCAGCTACTGTTGGGAGGACTGAGAAATACCCTGAGTGTGTGAAAACTCAAATATAAGGCAGTTTTTGAAGAAATTAAAGCAGCATAAATGTACACTCATGATCATTAACTCCTGCTCACCTTTATTGATGCCTAACATGCAGTGTCCAGGAAGGTAACCAAAATTACACATCCAGACTGTTCTCCATGAGAATTAAAAAGTCTATTCACAGACATCAAGAAAAAAAGTTCCAGCTGTGATCATCTAGTTTGATCACTCACATACCTGCATACTGTCTACAGAATTTCCAGCTACACTAACATCTATCATTTAGAAAGCCCTGTTGCCACATGTTGATGACTCCAACTTCATTGCCTGCCTTAAATTTTGGTTACAATGCTTAGGGCTTCTGGCTGCTAAGACATAGTATTAATTTCCTCCATCACAGCTTGAAGAGTTGAATCTTTCTTACTTAAATATCTATTTACAGATATTATCTCCTAGGTTCCTAGTTGAATGCCTTTAGGTGAGGCAAACTTCTAATAGGTTTTCCCAAACCCTGAGTCATGTTTTATCACCTTCTGTAATCTCTCAAGTAATTCCAATCTTTAATGCAATCCAAACTGTGGATTTTAGGTGATACTATTTTGAGTAATTGCTTTGTTACTTAGCTTTTTAGACATTCAAGGAGTGATCTACCCTTTTTTATTACAGCATTATGCTGAGAGCTCACTCTCATTTGTGATCATCCTAAATCCATTAGGTCACTGCCTTCCAGGACAAAGCTTCATTATTCTGCAGCAGAGACAGATATATTTCTCTGGAGCCAGATATATTTTATTTGGTTCAAATATATTTCATCTGGTTATAATAAAGTGCATTTTACTGGAATGTGGCCATTATATCAGGGGATTCATATCATTTAATAACTTCAACTTCTCCTTCCCACTGGTTATCTAAACCTATCAGGCACTAATGAGCCCCATTCATTTACATCTTCCCATTAGAAACTCTATGTTTTGATTCCTCGGTAAGCCAGCTTTTAATTTACCTAATGTGTGTCCTGATAATTCTCTATGTCATTTTTAAAAATTACAATGTCATCTTTTATAACGTTAAATGTATTTGGGAATCTAAGTTTACCATAATAATGCAAGTTGCATAAAAATATATAGTTGAGTTTGGAAGCTGTTCTGAAAAAAAAAAAGCTTTTTGCACTGAAATAAAAGATTTTTTTCCTCACTACAATGGAAAATTTCTCCTTCCCCTCAAATGTTTAGTTCAATGGGAACTTTTCCAAGATTAAACCAAATATTAGATAGTAGAAACAAACTGACATGAACTAAGGCCATAACAGCACATTCAATTAAATTAGGAACCTTGCGTCTGATTCCAACTGTCCCAAGCTGCATTTGAACTCTCCCTTAACTTTTCAAGAGTGATGTAACTACTGGTTGAAATAATGTCAATCTTTACTTTATTTCACTATCTATAAATAACTGAATACAAGTAGAAAAAGTTCCAGGCTAGAAATTTGTTTTCTCTCTCATTTTCAGATTCCAAAAGCTGTTATATGAAATGGTTAAGCTTCAGCTATGGGTGTTGCAAGACATCTAGCCATCCAACAGGCCTGGAGAAATTCTATTTAAAGGAAATCAATCCTGGCTGGTATTCCGCTTCCGAAACAGACCTGGAACTGTCTAGAAAATTTTGGAAAACGACTCATAAACCAAGCACACAAAACCTTCATGGCACTCCATAGGAAGGCTATATGGGATGGGGAGATAAAACATGCTGACATTTTAAAATTCTAGTTTATATTACCACCTTTGAGATATTTGGTGGAAGAAATATACCAGTAAGTTTCTCCAAAAGAATGTGGAATCTCAAATTAAAGTTTCCCAGAAGTTGAACACAGATTCACTTCCAGGACAAGAAAAAAGTTCTTTGCTGTGAATTTACTAACCACTGGGAAAAGTCTCCAACTATACATATTACATATGTTCTTATTAACCAGGCATGTAATTAACTAATACATTTGTTATGTCATATATCTAGTGTACTTGTTTGAGAAAAAGTCCTAGCCTCGCCTTATCCACTGAAAATTTCCCGTGCTTCAATACTGCTTCAGAGCAGAATACAAACACAAACAGCTGAATTTGACTGACAGGAGTGTGTGTTAATATCATAAAGGTGTCAATCAACTGTTTCTGCTTTAAGCCTGGTCGATTCTGTTACTCTTACTCATACCGAGTGGTACCTGGCTCTAGTAAGAGGAAACTTTCACATCAGTCAGATTCCAGCAGCAAAATTCTCCTTTTTATCAACTCTGATCAAGCAGTTTTCCAAGTCTTGGGTCCACCTATTTTCATAACTTATTAAGAAAAATAACCATTCAGCTGTATGGATTTGCTCAGCATAAGGAATTTTATCCACAGTCAATAATTGTAAAGTTTGCAATTTTACTGGAACATGGCATGAATTTCCTGATTCTACAAAAAAACTTTCATTTTGGGGCCTTTTTCTTAGGCAGACATTTGTGCAGAATGGGAAAATGAATGTTTAACTCAATACCTGTTGATGCCTTTGACTTCAGTGTTTCAAGACCAGTATGAGACTGAATGGGGTGGAAATAACAATTTATTCTTTTTTCCCCAACAATCAGCTTTTACTTGTTAGCAGTTGACTTTCCACTGCAAAAACTTAGTAGACAGTTTGCAGATGTATAGTGGTTAAATGTTTAATTTCTTGCCACAGATCAGTAGGTGAGATTACAAGACTTGTATCCAGTCAGCTGAGCTAGAAATGAGTATCTACTGGTCCTGTTGGAAAGTAGAAATTAGGGTGAATTGATAGTAGCCAACCACTTACCATGCCAATGATTATGCAACTGACATGCCTTAACAACACCAGGTCAAGAAATGTGTGTATACACACATGCACACACACACAAATATGTATATATTTAATTTGGATTGACCCATTATCAAGTTCCATAACAGCCTAATTTATTTACCTATTGTGCACATCTGCCAAATGGACTGACTGTCAGTGTATGAATCTTCTGTGTCCAGGGCTCTCGAGCCTGGGAAAATCTGCTTTGAGGGTTACTTCTCAACTTACTCAAGAAAGCAGACTCAGGCCCTTGGGCAGCAAGTCCTTTCCAGGACTACAGATAGTAGGTCAAATTACAGCAAAAGACTGTCTTTGTCCTTTCAAGGTTCTTGGAAGCTGGTGATGCATTAGAATTTCTCAACCAGCAATATTTCTAGGGCCTGTTCCCAAGGGAAAATTCAAGCTGACTCTTGCCAGTTCCTTGAAACTTCACATAAAAGCTGTCTGAAAAATGCTCTGGTGATTGTAGATGCAGCTCTTCTGTTTCCTTGCATCAGTACCCCGTAAAGAAGAAAACTGATGAGAGTTCTTTGGCAAAAGTAAACTGAAGCATTGTGAAAGTGGTAAATATTTTCTCCAGATCCCTTCTCTTTCCAAGAATGATCTTTATGCATCCTCTGAAAACTCTCTGCAGAGAATCAGCACACAAGCAAACTACTAAAGGTAACAATGGGGAAGTGTCCAGAGTGACATCTAAGGAAGAAAACATGAGTCCCTTTCTACAGGTTTTTTTAATGACACTAAAATCACAGAACAGCCACAAATCCTTGATTTTGGATTGTATTGCCTTGACATTTTTCACTCCTCTTTGCTCAGTATGTACAGAATATCAAAGAATAACACATCTAGCAAGCAGAAGAGATTTCCTTATTAAATAACAGAAGTACTTAAATTGTGTGTTGGTTCCTATTTTTTAATCACAACATTTATATTACAAGGGCAAAAAATACACACCTATCTCTCTTTCTGACATATGTCTGCAAACATAATTAAGCACAAAAAGATGAAGGAGAGGGTATGATAAAAAATGGCAATATTTCTTACAATGTTTTTCATTCCTTATTTACCATAAATCTTTTTAGCTGTAATCATTCATATTCTTTTATATGAGTACCTATTTGATTTCAAATTTTCTTATAATTCATATGAAATTTTAAGAACAATTGACTTCCAGTTATCTTTGGATCTTACTGACAAGGATAATTTTTTAAGATGCTGTCAGAGAGCCTAAAGGATTTAGAAAGTAAAGTCTGATTTTTAGGAATTGAGACCCTAGATCTCATTTCCATAAGACAAGGTGGGTGGTGTTGTATCTCTTTTTGCAAATTATGCTTATGGGGAGATTTTGAAATGCCAAAGTGATTCAAATCTTTTCAATTATCATTTATTGGCTTTGAAAGTAGCCTCTTTAAATACCTGAATATGAGTTCATTTGAAAGTGGTACTCTCCCTCTTCCCCCCCCCACCCCAAAGTTTTTCATCCTTTTCCTTGTAGAACACTAACCACAAGGTATTAATTTAAAAGAACACAAGGTGACTCAAATATCTTCTCTTTTTGCATTGTTTTTCCACTACCAAAAACTAGCTTTACACCTGGCTGCTATTATCTCAAAGTAGTCAAAGAATGTGGTAAATATTATCCACATGTAATTTATTAAAAGCTGAGTCAAAGAACAGGTGTTGCTATTGTAAAGATTAATTTTGTAGCTCTTCTGCTAAGACTCATAAATTATGAACTCCTGGGCCCCTCAACACTAAATCACATGCACCCAACATCCACACAGATTTATTAACTTGAGAGTGAAAAATGATGCACAATCTTGCCAGCTGCTCTGCCTGCAAGCACTGGCATCAGCAAGTATGCCAAGCCTCTCCCTGACACCCCACTTTACAACTGGGAACTGCCAGCTTCTCTTTGCCAGCATTGGCAGTTCTGCACTTTCTGCTTGCCTATGTCACTAGCATACCCCCTCAGATAGGCAAGGTAGTATTGTTATTTTCAATAATGTTAATCATATTAGATTTCAGATACATGAATTATTGCTCTGATAAACATCCTTGTTCTACTACTTTAGTTATGTTAGTAGAAAGACCAACCAACTAGAAATGATGCAGCAGTTAACCGTGCAGACATACAGTCTCAGAGGAGTAGATTACTTCTGCAGATCTCTCTTTGCTAAAGAAACTGTAATTTACAGTTACCTTATTTCCCTTCTTCATTCTTGGTGCCCTCAGATCCAGAAAAAACAAATGTCATTACTCAGACAAGTATAATCTCTATTGATCTGAAGACAGGACTGATATTTTTTAATACTGTAACCTATAATCTGCTATTCTCTCACACTGGGCAATGGTAACTATCTCCCAGAATTCTTGAAATCTTATAGCACAGGATCTTGGATGCTCAGAAATGCCCTCACCCACACAATTCAGGTACAGCGGCTTCAAATAAACACTTGCTGCACATCTGATGTGCCCTGAAGCATCAGTCTCCCTGTCACATACTTAAAACCAGTCCATGTATGTGCAGCCAGTCCTGTAAATGTTGGTGGGATTGTAAATTCATTAGAGAAAAATACAGAGGAAAATTCATGTCCAAAGATAGGGCAGATACCAGCCAGGCTCTCCCTTTGGCCACTTATGCTTCAGCCCTAGTGGTAGGTTCAGATTTAAGCAAAACCAGAGTTACCAACTTTGGACTAAAATCAGCTGAATACATAAAACTTCATTTTAACACTACTAGTGTTAATAAAATAGCTCATGTCCTTCAGTATCTCAGTATGTAAACTGAAACTTCAGAGTCAAACCTTGGGCTATTTATGGATTTGTGAAACTGCTATATGAATAGAAAAAATCTTTTTGAAGTGGCATAATTTTAAAATATGCCCTGTTTATCTGGCCTGATTATCATTAACCATGAATCCCATACACAACTGTTTGACTCCATGATGAGACTGTCTTTTTCTTATTTTAAGGAATGTTTAAGGAATTTTTAGTCACACATATTAAGTTTTCTAAATATGCTGATTAAACCACCTGTTCTTTTCAAGTATATCATGTATGGAAATAGTTTGTATGTTCACCCTTCCAGATCATAAAACAACTGCAAAATAAAAAGAAAATGTGAAAAACATTTAATTTTTCCAGCAATATTATTTACAGGTACCTTGTAGTCAGATACAACTTGCTACAGTTTGAAAGTATTGTGATTTATAGTGTGCTACTTGTTGTTACCTGTTCTCTCAGTTAGGTTATGATCCTGCTGACCTTTACTTTCATGATTAGATAACTGCTTCAAAGAGTGTAGGAAATTAAGGATTACTTGTGTGATTGAGAACAATTTTTTTTTCATACAGAGGAATTCAGAAGAATGCAGACAAACCAGAAATAATGAGGAAAAAGGTTCTACCTTTTAGAGCTGCTGAGTTTCTATGTGTGTGTGTGGTTTTTTTTGTTTTGTTTTGTTTTGTTTTTTGCTTTTTTTCAGGTCAATACGGATTTACTACACAAAGCATCTATTTCAACTTCATGCTATTTCTCTGGAACAACTACTTTAACACATCAGTACAAATTGTTTCACTTAGCTGGGTAAACTGGTCTGTGATTATTTTGTCAATGCTCAGTGACTGTAGGAAAGCTTATGGAAATTAATCATATAAAGCTCAGCCATTAAATTAATAATTGCTACTTATGAGAAAATCTCTGAACAAGCATTACTCCTTTGCAGGACTTGGTAAGATGTAAAAGAGAAGTTAAAAGTTTTATTTATTTATTTATTTATTTATTTTGACATATTATCATCACCTAACAAGTATACTTACATTTGTCTTGGTCAGCTTCCACTCCTTCACTTTCTGTGTCACTCGGCAATATCCAAGGCTGATGAGTAAGCTGAAGCTGTTGTAAGAATTCATCCTGCCACAAACAGATCTATTTTAGATAAAGTGACACAGAATGACAGAATGGTACTACATAAATGAAGATTGTAGCAAACACTCTAGTTTGAATTAACTAGAGAGGAAAAGCCCTTGAATTAAAAAATAAATAGATTAATAAATTAAAATAAATTAAAAATAAATAGATAAATAGATTTTTTTTTTAATCTAATTCTTGTTTATTTGTCTGTTTATTCTGGAAAAAAAAAAATCTTTATTTATGAGTCTACTATGGCCATAGATAGATAGATAGATAAATGCTCATCTTAGAAATACAGTGACACAGAATAAAATCTTAATGCAGATATTCTATCTGTCCCTACAGTTTTTGGACCATGCTTAGAAATGTCATGAATCATTTGCTTAAGCAAGACTTTGATTTGTCAGAACTTTCACTGTTTTCAATCCCATAAGAATGAGGACCTGCAACCTGATATAGAACCTATAGTTTTATTGGAGAAAGCCTAGGAAGGAAAAATGCTATGGAAACTTTCGTCTCCAAGATACCATAAAACTCTAAGCATCAAAATACAAATGTTATACATGGTTAATAATCCACATCCAGCTGAATACATGCTTTTTAAAAATGTTTTACAATCATCTCCTTTTTACATGATGTATATATGTATGTATATAAAAATATTTTTCCATAGACACATATTCATGTAAGCATGTACACACATGTAAAATACTATGACAGATTCCTTTGCAATATTGAAGGTAAGAGATGAGAGTGGAATGCATTGTTTCATTCCAACAGTAGTTCAGACATGCAAGTTGAGTCTCCAAAAGTTAACTCAAACATCAGCCAGATATCATAAAATTACTGGCCAGATTCTCATAAGCACCTAACGGAAAAGGGGGCTACCAGCGCTGTCTCATTTTACACCAGTTGAAAATCAGAATCTACTTACTCAAAGTATTCAATAATCTACGTATTCATAGTATTGCACAGCACCCAGCATTACTTTTATTGCTAGGTCATCTGGTTTAAAAATATAAACTAGGTTTGTTTTACTCAGTTCTTGGAAACTTAAGACTGTTCAATCGAGATCTATCTTGGTGTAAGCAAATTGTTAACTCTGTTAGTAATCTGTTAAAAATTTCTAAAAAACTGCTGCAATGACCCAACATGAAGCTCAGGCAGCAGACCCAGGCTTTACAAATGTAATATTTTAAACTGTTCTCTATTCAAGAAAAGTAAAAGTTTGCTGACTACAGCACTGAAATGGGGAAAGGGTTTGGTTCAAGTAGTAGGATTCTTGCAGAAGGAGCAAGTGGCTCTCGTGCTAGTCAGCATGCTTTTTAATATTCCAAAAATAGAATGAAGAACTGAGCCAGGCAGTACAAGAGAATGGAAGTACCTGACAAAAAGAGAGTCCTTATGACTTGTGCTCTATACACCAGTGACTAGGAGGAGGCCTTGTGTTTACCAGTGCTGTGTTCAAATCAGCTGAAATTTCCCAGGATTAACAATGACAGACCCATAAATATTACTGAACACCACTTTAAACTGTCTGGATGAAAAAAGTAATTGTAAAATTCCAAGTGCTGAGAAAACGAGATGGCAAACAAGGGAGGCAGTAGTATTTTCATCTCTACAGCTATTGATAACTATCACAGCATTGTGTCACTTTAATGGCATCCATCCTAAGGAGATAAGCAGGATTCAACATTCCTTTGTCAATTTATACAAAACACCAAAGGATACAGTAAATTCATAAAGGTATCTCTGCAAAAGGATTTGAAGCCCTGATTTATTAGTTTTATAGAAATAATAAAACTATTTCTCTAGGTAGCATTTTTTGCTATAATTCAATTCAGCCTTGAACAGAGCTGATAATGGAACACACCTGTTAAAACTTTGTAATATTATGTGTGCCAAGAGGCAGAAACTTGTCCACAAAATCTCAGAACATTATAAGTCTTGAGCATTAAATTAAAATTCTTCACAGCTGATATGTTAAGTACTTGCCAAATTATTTAAGACTTGCGTTATAACAAGATTAAATCATCCTGAGCTATAGCATGAACTTTATCAAAACTTATAAAGAACTCTGAATTGTACTTTGAATGCTTTTGTATTTTAGACTTCTTATCTTTGAAACACATTACAGACTAGGAAGCATAGATAAGGCATTGAGAAATATGTTAGAAGTCCTGATAACCAAAAAAGTGACAGCATGCACCTTGTAAGTCCACTCATACCTGTTTGTTTGTTTTTTTTTAATTCAAGCTCTTTATAATAAAACACTTTGCTGGTACTCAGTATCTGTTTCCTTTTCAACTGACATATTCTCATCAAATATAGATCAGTTTTGTACTGATTAATTCCATTAATGCCACATGAGAGAAAGGAAGCAGATTTTTTTTCAAAATATTACCACAGCATCTTGTATAGGGTTGGTAATATAGCCACAGTGCATTCACATCTAATGGAAATTTCCTGTTAACACTGTAATTGTAAGAAAAATAAAGGCAATTTCTCTTCTTTTATTTTGCTGTTTTTATACAGGAAGGGGATACAAAACCTACAATGAAAGTTGCAAAGTAATTTACAGTCTCAGCTTTTAGTTTCATACATTTTTAATTTGCAAAAGTACAAAGAAAGAGCTTTCTTGTTCTTCACATAGCTTCCATTGACTTTCCAAATTTCTCTCCACGGTCAAAGAGGAATCACATGGACAGAAATAGAGGGACACCTCTAACATGGCAAAACACATTACTGAACAGAGATACTTTCTGGGTATGATCTATCCTTACCCACTTGTCTTTTCCTAAGTGAGCAGGAACTTGAATGAACAAAGACAGCTAAAAGAGCTCCCAAAGTTTCCAGTGTAACATTTCAAACATGAGTTTGGCAGCAGTAGATTGGCCAGACCTCCACCAGTCAGTTTCTGAGACCTGAGGGCTCTACAGCTTGACAGATGAAGCTCACCAGTATGAACATGTGATACTAGCCATTTTCCCCCTTGGAATCACAGCTGGTCCCAAGAGAACTTTCCATTAAGTCAAAGGTCTTGTGATTGTCAGGAAGGGACTAATATGGTTTGAGCTGGGGGACTAGCAGCCAATACTATTGTGCCCAGTGATGAAGAAAGAAAAAAGTTTGTCACTTCTAGCAGGGATCATAACAGGGGATATGATTCTGCACAGGAATGCTGAGATTTAATGCCAGCTTTACAGTGAGCTTACTGGATGAGACTGGACATGCTATTCTATCTCTAAAACATGATATTGCTCTTTTCTTAAAGTACTTGAGACAAACATATGTACACATTAAAATAATGTATAACAAGACACTATTATAAGAGGTATCAGCAAAGTTTGGGATTTTAGAAACAGAAGTAAAAAATCACAGCAAATGAAATGGGTTTTCAAGATTATTATTACTAAACCACAGAAAGGCTGTGGAAGTAAGCATTTTTAATTGCCTGTCTTGTTACGGGAAGTATCAGAAGGGACTGAAAGAGTTGCTGTCCCTTGGTAGAGATTAAGTATTCATCACATAGCACTTGCAGGATCCTGTACAAAAATAATCCAAGTTGGCATCACATGACTACAGTGAAGTCCGAAAAAATGATGTGTTTAGTGAGAAACAATGAATCCCTTCATTTCTTCTGAATATTCTTAGTTAAAAAAAGTGAACTTCAATCCTCATTGTATGTGAGAAAATTTCAACACACAAACACACCCATCCCTCCAAACAGTGGATGGATGATTTTGTCAAAACAGATTTCTATTACTGTTACATATTCTTTTCAAATTTCTGGCTTGAAAATATATTGACCGTAGTCACCTTTGGTCATTTTTAAGTTGGATATTCAATTCTGGATGAAGAACTAGCCAAAGAGATGAGATTAATGCACTGCCATTCAAAAACAAAAATGAGGATTTTTTTTTTTCCATTGCTAAATGTACGGGTCAATATAGAAGGATTGGCATTTCCTGAGAAAAAAATCACCTTAGTGAGGCATGTATCTGAGATAGACAGCAAGGTTATTCTTTCACAGGTGCTTTTATTTCCACTGCCTACACAGTAAAGTTATCTTTAAGGCAGCTAAGGTTAGCAGAGGAGAACTCACTCAAAATTTACAAGGTACTTTAACTTCTTTTTTCTTTTTTTTTTTTTTTTTAAATACAAAGACTAATCATATAAAATCCATTAATATAAGACAGGAAGTTCTTATGCTCTGAATTAGTCTAGCTAACAAGCACAATAGTGATAGATAGTGATTCAACAATGTTGGACATTTTCTCATTGAAGTTCAGCTTTGTGTTTCAGAAAATCTGTCCATTCAGAGATGTCTAACTAATCATTCCAGTATGTAAAAAAAAAAAAAAAAAAAAAAGCAGAAAAAGCAGCAGACCAAGGAAATATTATGCACTGTCAGTGCAGCAGGAGGATAGGAGGATAAAATACCTTGGAATCATAAAGGTAAGATAAAAAGATAAAGTTGTGTTTAATAGTCCAGACATATGCACCTCAGAAACTGTAAGGCTAATAAAACTGCTGTGCATTAAGCAAGCAAGATCCTACAGATCTCATGAATAATTTAGGGCATGAGTGTTTTAGTATGATTTGTGCAATAATCCTGACATTCTCTCATCAGTACTTCTCAAAGCTGTGCAGTATTTCCTTGCTACTTTTCATTATGTTTCAAGGTTTTTTTTCAAAGCAGTAAGTTACATTAAGTATATTGATATTACTTCAACATAAAACACAATCTTGTCTTCATGTTATAGTAGCTATTAACCATAGCAAAAACATTAAATTGAAAATCTTACTTCTGATAAACTGCTTCTCTGAGTAGTGACAGTTCCAACAACATCTCCACTCATTTGCACAGAGAGCCCTGAAGCAGCGCTGAGGGTCCTCCCCATTTGGCTCTTAGAGGTCAAAGATCGGCTTCTGTGCATATTGATGACACCTTCTTTATTTCCTTGATTACTAGGGGTAAGAGGCCGTGACAGCAAGCTGTTTGGGGTCACAGGTCTGCTTCCCGGTGTTGATGGAGTCGATGACCTGTTGGTTTGTGCACCAGGTGTTGGAGACCGGCTGTTTGCAAGACTTGAGACCTGTGCTCGGCTGTTAGTGGGCAACGGTGGTGATTTGTTTCCTTGGAGTTGAACATTTTTCCCCATTGGAGGCGGCACCTGAGGCCTTGGATTTTGGCCTTGTGCAGCTTGAAGATTGCCTTGATGGTCAGATGTAACTAAACTGTGGTGTTGGATACTAGGGCTTCTTGAGAGCCTTGCTTCTTCCCATAGTGCTAGGTCCTTTTCAATATCTGTGCACACATACAAACAAACACACACAAAAAAACTTCTGTTTCTCTTAGGTTTAAAATTCTTATTGATTTTCTCTACTATAAGTGACAACTTTAAATTGTGGAGAGAAAATCTATTCACCCTTAAGATATAAGGCATCAGAATTAACAGTTTCACATGATCATGTCCTCAGAAGTTATTTACAGTTGATTTACTGCACACACATCTATCCCACAGAAATACGATATTGCCACTTCATTGAATCATCTAGCTATAAATGTCACTACAACCTACAAAAACCTCTCTCATCTCATCAAAGTTCTCTCTCTGTGGCTTTTGCAGTTTCTCATTAGTATCAAGCTAAAATGGAGCTATGAACTAAACTCACAGTCCCTAGCTGCACTGAAGGGCTATCCAAAACTGGTTCAAGATGAGACTTTTGATTCTGGTCTCACTGTCTATTGCCCAAACAAAACTCTGGGGCTCTTCACCTCAAGTACATCTAGATCTGTGATCCTGCTTGGATCTGAATTTTGTACTGTGGTCTGCCTTCAATGCCTCAGCAGGTGAAGGGGTCCCCAAGGTCTAGAATTTAAGAGAGAAAGCTGACTCCCATTTGGTGTTCCAGTCCCCACCCTACACAGGAGGACTATAAGGAACAAGATCCTATTTAAAAATGGAACAGTTCAGGTGTAGTGAGGAAAGTATCTTCTGAATTCATGTAATTCATATAAATGCTCCTAATGATATAAATCCAACAAAGTTAGCTGAAGGTAAGTTAGAATTTAGGTTAGAATAGCTACTAAAGTGAAAATTCTTTGCAAGTAAAAATGTCAAGAAGCTTACGGAGCAGTTCATTTCATCTCACACAATAGTTCTGAATTTTCACTCTCACTGATGTACTCTACTGTAATTTGATTCTGATGGTGACAGTTGCTTACCTTTAGAAAAGAAATGTTATTTTCCTTCAAACTGTACAAGCCAGAAGCTGTAAATCAGCATGGCTGCACTGACTTAATCACCTATTAAGTGAACATATATAAAATGTGGATTTCATTTTTATTTGCTCCTTAAAGTCCTAAAATAAACACTTTCTAAACTGCATATCAGAAAATCAGATTTTCTTTCAAGTCTTCTTACCAGGTAAACAGAATAAAAATAATATAAAATATTATAGGTATACTATATGTATAAAAATAATATTTTATGTAAAATAGTTAAATATGTGCCACCTTCAACATTAATATAGTTTGAAGTAGCACTTTGAAAACAGGAAAATAAGGTACATCAGGTTCATGTTACTACTTCAACACAAGATATTTCACACATTTAAAATACTATTACTAAAAAAATAAATAAATAAAAGTGATAAAAATGAAATAGTTGTGAAAGCCTCAGACAAAAGTGTCTTTCAACTCTTTAAAAATTAAATGTTTTGATGCTAGCCAATTAGCCAATTTTAAAATGTAGTTATTCTTTCTATCACACAGTTAAGAATATTTCTAATTGCCACCTCAACCTTACAATAATGTTACTAAAAACTGGCCTCTAAAATTAATTATTTCCATTTTGAAATAATTATGTCTTGAAGTATTCTTCCATAATGTTTTAAAAAAAATCATTACATATCACTTTGGAATTTGTAAGATGCCTGGCTCTAATCCAGGGGCCAATAATGACAATGTGGGTTACCTGTTTTAAACTGATTTCTGTCTTTGCAAAATTCAGACCTCTAACTTTCCCATAGTGATACAGTATGCAAAGAAATTATCTGAATATTATATGATTTAATAACAGCTAAATAAACATTTTTGTGGCTCATGTTTCCTTCATTTCATATAGTAAACAAGTCTGCAGGTAAACCATTTATGTTAATCATTTTTCCACATATAATTAACATATTTTCATAATGTAATTGTTCAGTTTTATTTAGCACAGGTTTTCCTTCAATAACAGCTTTTTAAACAGTAAGGAAAAACAAAACAAAACACATAAATCTCCAGCCACATGGTATTATTACCTGATACACAGTAAATACCAGAACTGAATTATGACTTAGGATTTTTTAAATCCCTTGTTAATGTCATTTAAAGGAAATTAAAATGCAGACAACAGAGCAACACAAAGGCATTTACTTGCATATCAGAATGCCAGAATAAGGATATCATTCATAATACACTTACAAACTATGTATAGATGCACAACTGTTTATGCATTTAAAAGTTCTACTTGTGGTACAATATATTCTAGAAGTGTGCAATGAGCACAGAATGAGTATAACAAACAAAATGGGCAAGTTACTGGAATTAACTACCAAAGGGAAGAAAAAAAACAAAACAAAACAAAACAAACAAACAAAAAAGCACAATTCCATTTACATGTGATATAAAACAGATACAGTAACACACGAGCCTGGATCTTAGACAAAAGTATTATTGAGCCATATGCAAGGAAGGAAAGGAAAACTGATTGCTTCAAAATTTGATTTTGTGAAAATGTTGTTTTCAAATACCAGGGTACCTAGGTACATGCTGACAGTTGATATTACTCACTAATTTAGCTGTAGGCACCCACTTGTGCCAATGTTAAAAAGTCAGTTTTACACAGCGTGTTCATAAGAGAAAGGCAAGCTCCTTAAGAAGGTGTATGTGAGACAGAGGACTATTTTTCATCATTGCACAGGTAGTCCAAGTCACAAGTCAGGCATCTAAATGATGTTCTAGTATCGGATAGGACTAATTGATTACATTGCACCTACTGAACGAACTGAAAGAGGAAGACTTGCTGATACCACAGACACTTCATCTTTTGCAAATGTATGAAAAAAATAAGGCTAAGCAAAAACACAGCATTATTATCTGAGGTCCTCTGATCTGATTCTTCATTGAGGGCAATAATAAAGTTTTTACCTATTTTCTATCAGCATCTGAAAAAGATTGTCTTTTCCTTTGTCTAAAATACTGACATAGAAAGTTAAGTTACATTTTATTATCTCTTACTACCATACATACCAGCTAGATGTTTTTCCATGGTCTGAAGTTCTTTTGCTGCTAAGGAGTCCTTTAAGAGTTTCTGTCTTGGAGAACCTCCAGGTCTCACACCCATAGCATCCAGGGTCCAAGCTGGCTGAGACTTACATAGATAAAAATGCATTAGAATATTTTTAATGTACTTTCATATTTATGTGTAAAACAATTTTAAAAAAGGGGATGAGAACTCATTTAGAATAGTGAATCTGGTGGGGGTACACTGTGCAGAATAAATAATGCTCATATGCAAAAAGTACAAAATATAATTTCTTACCTTAAATAACATAAATAGTAGGTGTTGCACAAAATCAACAGTTCTAGGGTAATTCAAATATATACATGCACACGAGCACATTGAGACAACTTAACAGGACAAATTCTTCAATGATTTACATTCTATGCAATTCCAGTTACTTAGTGGGGGTTGCACTTACTTCAAATTACCATAACATTTGGCACAGTATCTCTGCAAAGCAGCACTTCTGGGAACATCACAGAATTTCCTAATCAAAATTGCCAGTGCTATTTTATCACTGCAAAAAGTACTCCTTTCAGGAACAGCAACTAAATCATTAAGGCAACATAGCCATTTGGAACAGATGCTGGCAAACATAACGCCTACCCAATTATTTCGCTATTGAATGGTGTGGTACTCAAAAGTTACCTGCATTTTCTGGAACCCATTCAGTAATTTCAAGTAATGGTTTTGAAATATAATGCTATGAGGTAAACGCAGTAAGTTTTTATATGCTTCCTTGAAATACACTAGAAGTATATGATGGAATGCTTAAGACTTGGTTATAAAAACAGTGAACAAAACATTAATTAAAACATTCTAAACAGCCTATCTGAAACAAATTTTACTTTATTACCTCAGCAAAACATTTCATCTGCAGTGTAGGGGGGGTCTTACTTTCTCTGGTTTCCCAAAGAAATAAAGCTTATGCAATGGTCTCATCATCATTTACCTCTTACTAATTTTCTTAATCTTCCAGTAAATGTCAAACAAATTTAGAGAGGGGCCAGGGTTTCAAAGGCATTAAGCTGATGTAATCGCAGAAAGAAGAATGATTAAGCAGAAGAGGGAGACCTAAACTGGTGACCCCATTTAGGGAAGGCACACAGAGGTCTGCTGCTGCAGTCTGCCACGCTGTACCCAAGTCACCAGCAGATGAATGGGATCCTGCAAAGAGCTGCAGCACGTGGTGGTGCTCTCCTGGCTGGGCTCTGTCAGCATATAAAGGGTATACTATGGTTCAAAGGATGTACACAAAATCAAAAGTTTGCTATCCTCTTTGCCCACAAACAATTTGCTTTAACTGCAAACATTGTAGCTGCCTTGTGTTTTGTTTTTTGTTATTGATTTTTTTTAATTAAGCATAATTCAACAGAAGTAAACTATTATATGGGATATAATTTATAAATATAATCTTTTAAAATCTTTTCCAATAAACACTGTATTGTATTCAACTGATGACTGTGAAGCATGTGTCTTTTGTTAATTTGTTAACACAGATTTATATTTATAAAGCAATAGCTATACTGTGAAGTTCCACATCCATACTTAAAAAAAAACACTATTCATATTTTCTTGCATACTGCAGGTAATCCTACCCTCTTAAAACATTTTAAAAACACAATTGACATTTTTTTGATTTGACAAATGTTTTTTGTTCATTTGTTTGTTTGTTTGTTTGTTTACAGAAGTTCTACTCCAGTTAAATTTACCCATATTTAATCTCAGGTAAATATACAGCTGAATAAAACATAAATTACTCAGAAATTGAAGTATTCCTGCAAACACATTTATTTCATACATACTTTATTCACCCATTTCCCCAAGAGATTTTGAGAATTTGCCACTTCAGTCCAAGCTGTGAATTCTCCATCCAAATCATAACTTGGCTTGTTGATGTCACCTGTATTAAATTACTCACATCTGTTTGTTTCTAACAGATATTAGTTGCTCCATAACTACCTCTAGATAGAATAGTAACTCATTGTATGAGTGATTCCTCTGAAATAAAAGAAACAAAATAAGAGATGGGAAAGAGTAATAGACCCTGTAACAAAAATTTAATATTCTGATTACTTAACCTATTTTTCCCATACTCTGATCTTCAGAATTTTATGGGGGAAAGAGGCCATTTTTATATAAATTCAACAGTGTATCTTTTCATAATTGGGAAAAAAAAATAGCAGGGCAATAATAACGAATATAGGGGGAAAATCCCCAAGGTTAAAAGGATGAACTCTTTTTATACAGTTTCATGCATAGATATAACTCAGATGAACTAAAGAATAAAAATTAGTCAGTGGGCTATGGTAATACTTGAAGACCAAATTGTTTGTCTGTTATTCTCAACTCTATTGAAGTTTATCATAAACAAATAATTATGGGTTTTCTCTTACCCTGTAACCTCTAAACACATAGACTTACAAATGTTATCCTGCTGAGAGGTTTTCACTCTCTGTCTTCAATTTTCTATATACAAAATGGAGAAATCTTTCACTTCAACAAATGTCTATAGTTTCTTCTTATGTTCCACCTTTTCCTCTACCATACTTATTTCCTTTATGTACAGCAATAATGTAAGACATACCAACTAAGGTGACTGAGTGAAAGCATCTCAGCCTACTGCCCATAACAGAAACTAAAATAAATGCAGAAAAATTATTTTTTAATGGTAATCATTACATTAAAAAATAAAAAGAGTAATATTTAAATTAAATAATTTTCAGTTTGGAGACTCCAAATCACAAAGACAGAATAGAAGTCACAGAATCATTAAGATTGAAAAAGACATCCAAGATCATCTAGTCCAGCCATCCCCCTACCACTGATATCAACCACTAAACCGTCATCAAACATCAGCAATATTTTGCATGCTTCTATTCAGATTTTAAAATCTTGTATAATTTTTGTTATAACTAGATATAGTTATACATCTTCTTATAACTAGATAAACTGTGCATATTTTTTTTTAGTATGTACTATCATAAGTTGACAACATTTTGTCTCAGAATAGCATTCCAAAAGACCAGAATAATATTCTAATACTAGTTATAGAACATGAGATATTTAATAGTAGCAATTTAATTTAATGGAAAATGATGTGCTTATATTGCCTTAGAATTAAATACTCAATAGAAAATAATGATTTGGAAAATCTGAAAAAAAAATAGAATTTATTATGACATTAAAACTGCAGTGTAATGAGTTTTTTGCTCCTTCACTGATGCTAGATATTTCAGGGCTATAAGAAACAATATTTCATTCTTTTTGGAGGCAGGCTCAAGTAATGTGTTATATACATATATATATATTTAAAAAAATAATAATACTTAACATGAAAAATATCTTTTAATATTTTGAGATTATGCATTTAAGTGCATAATACATAAACACAGACAAGATTTCTCTGTTTCTCCAGCAATTTATGTAACAGCCTTATTCCTAAAGGATAAGCACAAGCTGAAAGCAAGGGATGTTAATAAGGAAGCTCTGAAAGCATGTCAGTTCAAATGCTTTAGCAAGAAGAAATGCATTCACACAGCTACAGCAGAATTCAGTGTTACCATTTCTCTCCACTGGATGAATGGCAGCAGTTCAGATATCTCATTTAAGAGAGATTCACGCTTGCAAGTCATTTATTTAAACCTTCTTATTCCACTTTACTGAAAAGTGTCCTTTGTCTACAGGCCAGGTACAGCAGAGATAAAACAATCATTTTGGTTACCTCAGACTTTAATGATAATGACAGTAGACTGAAAGTGGTTGAAAAATTTAGTATGTATGCATAAAGTATATGTATACAAGAAGTCCTTTTCAATGCCTTCAGTATCTTCCAAACTGCAATTGCCCTTGATAGTTCATTAAGCTTTATAAATATTAGCACAAAATTTATAAATGGCCTATTCATATTAACAAGATTTTAAATCTAAATATGAGGATATTCCTGAAAGACATCCTTGCCTTTTAAACTTGTAAAAACAGCTCTGGGCCCTGTTCATGTCACCTTCAAACTCTGAAGGTAAGACAATGTCTCTTTGCACCAGAAATATGTTCAAAACCCTTGGGATATATTTGTTAAATTTTAAGGTCAACTATGCATTCATGTCTTAATTGGTTTTCTTTACATAACATCATTATTTCTTCACAAACAATATATTCATTAGTGTATTCTTTACTTAGATTACTTAGTGAAATTACTCCTAAAACATAAATTAAAAAAAATAAAGCCAAAGGCAATGTCTCTCATCACTGGTTCCCTGAACTTCTGAAAAATACTGTAGCTTACTGGGAAAGTCATGGTGGTACACAAATACTATTAAGGATGTCATAAGAATAAGAAAGTTTTTCAAGATCATTATAAGTACTTCAATCTGCAGCACAATGTCATTTTGATGGCATACATTATATAGCTTTTATCCCTAGGGAAAAAAAAACAAAACAAAACAAAAAAAAAAACAACAGTGTAAATGTGAATGTCTTGATCTTGAGCTGAAACAACATGGGCTGGCCTGTAATATCCACAGACGCCCTGGGATTTCTGCAGATGTGCAACCTTTTGGAATATCTGAGGCCAAGAGGAAGGCCTCCAAACTACCTACAACATCATCTGGAAATTAAATACCTTTTAGAAAACAAACTGCCCCCTCCTGCTGACCATAAAAAAAAATATTAAGAAACAATGCAATGATAATTTTCTATGTCATTTGGGTCTACTTCAAATTAAAATGTCCAGGTACTCAACAGGCACGACCATGTACGAACATACATTCTCTTTTCAGGTGCAGGGAGAGTCCTCACCTCACAAGAGACAGTGCTTCCTCATTTTTAAAGATTACCTTTTAATGATGAATTGCATATTCACACCGAAAATACAGATAGTTAATCACAATAAAAAGGAGGTGAAATCTAATTCAATCCTGAGTTCCTTACAAGTTGTATATATGTTACATATTTTGATTGAACTTTTATTCTATATAAAATTATATATTCTACATAGTTTTGCTATTCAAATGCAAATTTTATTGGTAACTTCAGGAAATAATATTGTAAAAAAGACCACCACACTTAATTTTCTTGCATAATCCACT